TATATATATAGATATATATTATATATATTTGTATTTTTTATTTTGGTCCTTAAATTATTATTTTTATGTATGTATGTATTTTTTTATTTATTCTTATTTATATTTTTTATAAAATAAATTATAAATATAATTAATATTTATTAATTAACATCTATATATAATGTTACATTTTAGGTTAAATTATCCTGTTTTTTACTCTTTAAAATGTATATAAAAAATAAACAACAATTTAATATTTTTACATCATTTTGAATTGCGTTCTGGAATGTTCCATTGAGGTGCTCAATGGTATCTGAAGCTTTGTGAGATTTGCTTTTGCTTGGTGATTCGGGTCCATCTGCTTTCTTACCATCCTGATGCTTTTCACGGTTCTTGCTTGACTTCTCCTTTGATCGCTGCTTCTCATCCACCTTTCCAGAACCTTCTGAGTTGTTCTTCCTCTTTTCTTTATGTTGTGATGGAGTCTGGCTTTGCTCTGTTGGGCTGCTTCCAGATATTCCGTGGATCCAGGACACCTTCGGTTTGGTGGAAGGGTCTGGAGGACGAGGTTTCGTCTTCTCTTTTGTCTTCTCCGGTGAGGCGTTGTCCTCCTCCTCTTTGGAGTGTTTGGAAAGGCGGGCGACATGGGCGTAAACAGCTCTTATGGTTGACTCCGAACCACTGGTGGAGCCCTCGCTGTCTGAAGACTTCAGGAGAGGCTGTTCGCTCCCATCGCTAATGTACTGCTTCGTAGTTCCTCTTGTGTCTTTGAGGGACGTGTACTCTCCTGCGTCATCGTAGTTGGGGGTCGGTGGTATTTCTCGAACAGTGCTAGAATTTCGCTTGTTACAGCTCTCATTCGTAGTCTCTGAAAAATGCAAGAGAGTAATTGAAAAGGTAAGTAGAAGAGAGAGACATTTTTGACCAATAAAGTCTTCTTTACTTATTAAACATCTCTACTTGTTAAACATCTCAAAAATACTTTATAAAATGAAAAGAAAAACTGTCTGGCCATTTCCTGTGCGATGAATCAACTGGAAAGAATGTCAGCTGCAATTTTTAACACCTCTTTGTGTATATTTGTCATTGAAATGGTTTTGTTCCAAATTCCAGTCTGTGCATTATGTATTTTTTATGTAACATTGATACACCTGTAGGTGCCAATAAGTATTTAGGAATGAGTCACTTTATTCAAAAACATTGATACATTCATGAACACAACTAGTGTCTGTAGTGACTCATTCACACTATTGATCTGTTGAAAAACACTGATTCAATCTGGAAACAAACAGGCAATCTTTTATGAGTGATTATTAAAGCAATCATTCAACAACTTATTCAAAAACACTGATTCATTTAGAAACAAATCAATTATTCTACCGAACCAATTAATTCAGTTATACCACTACTCTGTGTTCTGATGACTTTATTTTAGGGCTGTCAATCGATTAAAATTTTTAATCTAATAAATCACATAATTTTTCTGTGATTAATCGCACACTTCATGAAATTAAGCATAGTCCATTTATCTTGTTTCAAATGTTTATTTTGTCATCATTTGCTATATCCAGCAAAGTAAACCAAAAGATTGAAGGGTGATTCTCAAAAATCTATATTTTCTGCAAACTTTTTTCAAGATAAATTTAGATGACTTTCCAAAAAAGGACACTTAGAAACACCAAAAGGACACCAAAGAACCAAATGATATAAGGAGCCCATATGAGCACATATGAAAGAGAATAAAATCAGAATTTTACAGTATGTGTACAGTGCAACACCAAAGAGCTTTTTTACATTTTAGAGAAGCCAAGTTGCGATACCGAACAGCACCACATGGAGATGCCAAAAAAAAAACTTTACCAACCGCCTGCTGACTGCATAGCCGTAGTTTGCGTCTCATCTGGCCATACAGCGGCGGGATGTGTTGACAATCCGTTCAGTCTGTATTTCACACACAGCGCGTGTGACATGTGAGGGCTCACGCTCGTCAGAGACAATCACAGAATATGACAGAGCTCGTGTTTTAAAGCCAAACACACTGGAATGAATAATTCACTTAAAACGCAATGCGGGTCTCTGTTCTCTCTGCAATCTCTGATGTAATCAGCCT